ACAATCTATCTTTGTCGCACACCGTGGTTGAGCACTCTCTGGCTGTTTTTATACATTGTTATGTTAGTTGTATATATATATATACTGATTATTACTGACGGTATATTATGGATGCATCACTGCCATCCCGAATCAAAGCGTGCTTCAGTGCAATGGAAACATCTTTCTTCTTCTTGTCTTAAAAAAGTGCACGATTACACCATCAGCAGGGAAGTTTATGCTGACGTGTTCTCGGATTGTCAATGAGTACCAGAAGACATTTCGTGAATGACTCAGAAATTGAATGTGAAGTGAAAATGTGGTTTAGAAAACAGAGCACTCAGTTCTATGCAGCAGGTTTGGGAGAACGGATAAAACGATGGAGACATCAATGTGGGTGGAAATTATGCTGAAAATAAAGGGGGACTGCATGTCTAAAAAAAAAAAAACGGTTTTCATTTTTTTAATAAACAACCATTTTTGACTTATACATTGACTTCCCTCGCAAAAGGAAGACCAGTTATATATATGTGTGTGTGTGTGTGTGTGTATCTATTCCTTATATTTGAGCATAATTGAAATGTTTCGTCCATTACATTACTGCTATACTATTTGTCTCTCTCTTAGTTTGTTCTAAAGCTGTAGTGGCAGCTTTCAGGTGGTGCAGTTAATGTCCTTAAGCAATAACGTTCAACTCATCAGTGTATTTATTGTTGGTCTTCAAAAATGAGCGATTGTTTCATCTCAGAATTGTTAGACCGAAAGAAAACTTTTTTCTGCAGCTGCATTTGAATGTCAAAATACTAAGTATAAACGTTGGTAGTAACGATACGCTATTTTCCTCTCTACATTTTTCCTCTAAAAGTTCTAAACCAGAATTTTTTTTTCCGCATTAAATGGCCAATCTTGCAGTATTAGTGACCTCTATTTTTATGTATTTGTTTATAATGATCTTCTTTAAGAAGGCAAGGAAATTGAATAACCAATGGTCTAATCAACATCAGTCGTGATCCGGCGTACAATTAATTAATTAATTAATTCAATAATTTATGCATCCATTGTCCTATTGTACCACTATATGCCCCATTGGACTGTCAGTATATTCCTCCTCTACAGACCTGGTTATGCGTGCGTAAAGGGTAATGAGCGAGCGGAGCAACTGGCCAGCAATGCACCAACGCATGTGGGAAGAAACATGAACAAAGCAGAAATCGTTAGTGAATAATGAGGACTGAGGACTGGGTTAGTGGATAATGAGGAATCCCTGCCACTAATATGATTGTGTGACATGGGAGTAACGCATAATGAAGCACGTCTATGCCGTCTTCATGGCCGAGATAGGAGACAGCATAGTAGAAGTATCTTGGAGTGGCTGCTGCATCTGAGGACTGAGCAAGCATGGGGATTCCCAATGTGCAGTGATGTCGATTGTGATAACATAACAGTATATTCCTACATTCCATTCTACCCTGCGCAATCAGTTCAATATCATAGATGGAATCCAGTCCAGCAATTATAGCCTCCTTCATCAATGTTCGTTTTAGGGTTTCTTGTGTGTGTTCTCACCTGAATTCTCTGATTTCCCATTTCAATGCCTGTTTTCACCATACCATACAAAGCATACATGGAAAGAGAAGAAGGACGTAGAGCACGGGGTAGACCAACTCTACAACAGCACGATGTGCCTATGGTCGAGGCAGCCAGAAGAGCTAGAAACAGAACCTTATATCTCCCTCGACACCCACAGCGGTAAAAGAAGAAGTGAAGAAGAAGAAGAAGAATGCCTGTTTGCTTATTCTCAGCTAGTTTCTTCTCAGGTTGTGTCTAATATAGCGTCATCTTCTACACTGTCTTAAAACTGTGGATATAATGGCTGTCTTAAAACTGTGGTGTGCTGTCCTAGTGACTGGTCTTAAAACTGGATATAACATATAGTGAACTACCAACGTCTCATATATTGATGCAACATTTATAAAACGTACGTAAATATTGCGTATAGAAACAAAAGTACAGTTTTGGTCGGCGAAGGTCAAATAGTACCAACCTCCTACGAAAGTACCAACTTGGACAGCTCTGATGTGACACTGTGACATTATAGCGATCACTCAGAGCTTTTATGACAGAGTAACTCCTAATCTCCTAGCAACTTCTCGTGGCATTACTTCATTCAGCAGCCATACTATCTCACTACATCCGTCAACAATCGTTAAGTGTCATCGCTGAGCCATGGTTAAAAAAGTAAACTGGTTAAAAAAGTAGACTGTTTAAAAAGGTAAACGAGTTAAAAAAGTAAACGAGTTTAAAAAGTAAACGGGTTTAAAAAGTAAATTGGTTTAAAAGGTCAATGGGTTTAAAAGGTACACGTTAGAAAAATACCTAATGCTGGTTCCTTCCGAAAAGTAGGTGATGTGCTCACAATAGTCACGATTTTCACGTGAAAAGCCATTTCAGCAATGTTATCAACAGGTTTTGCAATAGCAAGCGTTTTTAAACGCCTTATTTGTCTTTTCACCACGCTCACTTGTTTGACTCGGATGCACACACCCGTAACACGGATTCAATTTATTGTTAGATTTACAAACATTGTTCAAGTATGCAACAAAATTGGATAACACGTTTTTGAAAATCTTTGTTGACAGTAAAGTGAAGAGCCCATTTCTACGCCTTCGGACATATTAGGTATATAATAGTCTATGACGTGTGTATATATATGGACTGTACCGAATATTCGCTTTGGGGCCGAATAGTGGACCTATTGACTATTCGGTATTCGGCCGAATAGTTGCGGTCGGGCCGAATACGAATAGTAGTTACCTTACACCCGCTTCTGTATACACGGCCTTAATGCTGACAACATGGAACGATTGGTTTTGTTGAAAGCTAATGCAACTTTCCTGCAATAACTAAGCTGTCAGTGACAGTTTCCAAGTTTAGTTACTTGTTATAATGCTTAGGATTATTTCATTCTTAGTTATTAGTTACCACAGACTGACTGAAGGATGCAAAACATAAAATGTTTTTAAATGTTTACTATTCTGTACGAATACTAACTAGACATGGAAAGAATATAAACTCCGGCCACATCCAAGTCGATAATATGAAAATCAAACGAACGGAAACATATAAGTACTTGGGTGCAAACTTCAACTGTTCCAACATGCTGAGGGAAGAAATACAATCTAGAATACAATCTAGAAATAAAGTGTACTATGCCCTTCAACATCTGCTAAAGTCAAAGTGTCTGTCTCACAACACCAAGATCAAAATATATAAAACATTGATAAGACCAGTCGTTTTATATGGCTCTGAAACTTGAAGCAGAAATAAAAGAGTTGAGTCCTTATTACAGGTTTTCGAAAACAGTCTTACGACAAATCTTTGGAACTATCAAAGATGCTAACAGCGGGGAATGGAGATTGAGTAGCAACAACGTAACACATAATCTGTTTAAATCATCATTGATCACTGGCATCATAAGAGCTAATAGACTAAAATGGTTGGGGCATATTGAAAGAATGTCAGATGACAGAGAAGTAAAAACTGTATACACCTGAGAGAGGAATGGGCGTAGACCACGAAACAGACAAAAAAGAAGTTCGAGAGATAATGTCCAGCCAGACCTGCAAACAACTGGTGTCACAAATTGTGAAGATAAGGCCAGCCAGAGAGATGAATGGAGACGAGTGATATCTGCAGCAGTAAACCTCAAAGGCTCAGAATGCTAAAAAAGAAGATGTGCTACTTTTATGTGAAGTAAAAGTTCAGCGTACATTTGACACTGTAAATATGTTTTTTTTTTAAAATATATTTTTATCCACTATACACTATTTGTATTCGTATTCGTATTCGGTACAGCCCTAGTATATATATATATATATATATATATATATATATATATATATATATATATGTGTGTGTGTGTGTGTGTGTGTGTGTGTGTGTGTGTGTGTGTGTGTGTAACCATAATCTGCAATAGATGCAACAAGCATACATTGGATACACTGGCAAAAAGCTAGCTGATCGTTTCCGAAAACACGTCTCAAATATTGGCAAGAAGACTCTTAAACCAATCCTGCTCCATTTTAACAGCTCTGACCACAGGTGTAAAGATAATATATCTGTCACTGCATTAAAATCTTGCTCTGGCGATCACACCAGGCGCCTCGCTTTGGAGTGAACAGCCTACGTGTTCTTAATCCAGGCGGTATCAATATCCAACATACCTTCATCTAAATAGTTTTACTATTGTCACATTTTAAATGATAAATATTTTATTTTATTTTATTTTACTTTTTTTTTCCATATTAATACTTCAATCTATCTCTTATCAGTATTATTTATGTATCATCAACATAAAAAAATGTATTCCTACTATTATATTATATATTAACAATATTCTTTTTTGTGTGTGGAGGGGGTGGCGGTGGGAGGGGCGGGGCATCGTTTATTTTATTTCATTCACTCCACTTCCATTTTTGAAAACGTTGCTCACGTCACCTGTTAAATACCTGAAAACCCTCCTCTTTGTTACCTTTGTGTAGTTAAATGCATGTTTTACAAAGGCTTCAGTCAGAAACGTTATTCGTATTATTTTGTGCACTTTTTCTGCTTCCCCATTTTGTTAAGCTTTTTAGTCACATTTCACTGGATTTCCTTGTATTAGCTCGACAACATTTTTCAGATATATTAGACTAGACCTGTATATTAAAGACCTATCGGCACGTGGTGGGTGATATGGTTAGTATTTCGCCGGCCACTTTTACTTCCCACAATTTCACCTGGTACCTTTTCAAGGCTGGGTTAAAAAGGTGTCAGTGTCCTTTGTGGAAAAAAAAAATAAAAAAAATTGGAAAAAAAAAAACGAAAAAAATTATCTGGATCCGTCATGACTCAAACCCATGACCTGCCGATCCACAGGCGAGCATCTAGCTGCTATACAACGGCTTCTCCCTTTAACCAGAAAGTGACCATTCAATTACTGTATAGATACAACCTAACATATTCATGTATTTTATTTCTAGGACGTCAACACCACAGCCTACAACATCATTACATATTCACCATCGCCAAACCACTCAGCCACCGACCTAGCTACATCCCATAACCACGCAAACACTATAGAAGTGGCTACTAATGGTGAGGAGACAGTGGCCACACTAGACGAAAATCAAGCGTATTATATATGGCTGTACACGCGAGTGTACGAGTTGTACATCAGCAGCATACTTTTTTACCTATTGCCTTACACCCTGATCCCCATCCTCAATATGCAGCTGTTGGTGGCAATTAAAAGGCGGAGGGAGGAGACGAGCAGAATCAGTGCTAAACATTCACATAGGGTAAGTTGTGGTTTCTTTCCGAGTCTGTGGTTGAGGGCAAGAAAATGGGTTGTTTAAGTTTAGGACACGCTGAATCTGCAGAAGTGTTGTTTTTTTAGGTTCTCTGTGTGGGTTCTGGGGTCCTTCTGTGGGGAAAAAGAATGGGTCTACTGCCTCTTAACAAGCATGTCGTAAGAGCTGACACAATATGGACATTTTTCCTTCAATGTAGAATTCAATCTGCATAAGAGACAAGGCACGAACAATCTGCAAAACAATAGTTCATGCAAAACTCACGTTTGGAAAGAGTACCAAAGTCAAGTAGTGGAAGAAGAACCAGAACTTTCTGTAGAAACATACAGCCGGTTTTTAAGAGGAAGCCAGCATGATTTACAACACGTGGTCGGTCTAAAAGTGTATCATCATTATGTAGAGGTTACTACATTCAGGCGCTATCTTGCAACGAAGCGAGTCAAACGCTGTACGCGATAAAGTAGCACCTAAAATATACGCATGTAACGCGGCCACAGACAGTCATTTTTGTTTTGACTCGCCTGCCGATGATGCACCTAAAATATCCATATGTATAATTATGTCTTAGCACTTAGCTGCTCTACGAAATATTTCTCCTATTTACGCTTCCCACCCCCTCCACCACCTGCCGAAACATTTTTAATATTTTAAAGTAGAACATTGCTTAACAAGATGTCGCAAACCAGGCAGTTTGCCTTTGAAATTCTTCATTTATTCCATTGTATGCGGTATGTTATTTACTAATACAAGCAATATTAGAAAACGATACCATAAAGCAGTGATTTCCAAACTCGAAATATATAAAGATACACGAGTTTTATGTTTGTTTTTTTTTTTAAATCTCTTACGTACGAATAGTTATACTGTTACTTAGGTTATGGCCCATGGAAATATTTACAAAAAAAAAAAAAAAGTGCCGCGGCGAAGAAATGTGTGGGAAGCACTGCGATAAAGCATTCTGGGAAGCTGGTTCAATAACAATGCACGATCTGTGAGATCAAGCGTGGAGAGAACTGGCAATGATTAGAGATGGCTCGATTTATGCCATTTGCTGACAAAGAAAGCTGTCTTGATTCACTTCACAGATGTGCCTGCATTTTTACCAGCGAAAAGGGCTATCATATAATATCTACCATTTTCTGAAAGTTGTCTTGAAAGTAAAGGCGACCAAAAGGAACAAGTCATCCCAAAATATATGAAGTAATCTAGAATATCGTGGAACGTATATATACATACATACATACACACAAATACGTGTATATACGTTTTTTTGTATATGCTATGGTGAGGCCTGAAGGGCCACGCTGCTGACGTCACAGGTTCAGGCTAACGATGCGTTTACGCAGCGGTTCTGAAAATGGGTGCCGAAGCACCCTGGGGTGAAGTAAACGTATGCCATGGTGTGCCGCGAAAATAAAAAAGTAAAGTCAGCTAAACATTCTAAAATTATTAAAGAAAGGAATGTCGATACTTGAAAGTTAAAATGTAAATTCTCTTCCCTCGCCACTGTCAAAGACAGTTTATTTCTTGTTTGAGAACCGCTGTGCTAACGCATCATCAGCCCAACCTGGTGACGTCAGCAGCACGGCCCGTCGGCTGAAGCCGGTCGTGGTGAGGCAACGACAAGCACACGTAACTACCATTTGAGCGGTCATGTGTTCACAGTCTTTACAGGATCATTTAAAAAAGAAAATTTAGGGCTGGCGTGTCTATGAAGCTAAGTAAGTAAAACAAGTAAAGGTCTCTTTGCCACGCCTTTGGGGCTAAACCTATATTTTTATAGACCAATCGGCACAAGATGGGCGATGTGGTCAGGATCACGCCGACCGACTTTACTTCCAAGGTCTATGAAGTTAAGTAGTCTTTAATAATTGTAAAACTATACATTCAACCAGACAACAGACTTAAAGTTGTCATGATCAGTCTGTTGTCTTTGTGTGGGGGGGGGGGGGGGTGTGAGTGTGTTGTGTGTGTGTGTGAGTGGGGTGTGTGTGTGTGAGTGGGTTGTGTGTAAGTGTGTTGTGTGTGTGAGTGGGGTTTGTGTGTGTGTATATATATATATATATATATATATATATATATATATATGTGTGTATATATATATATATATATATATATATATATATATATATATATATATATATATATATATATATATATATATAGAGAGAGAGAGAGAGAGAGAGAGAGGTAAAAACAAAATAATTTTAACGCTAGTGACATATTGGCCTTTTCAATGCAAGCCATTATGCCTGAATCCTCGCTGAGCAGTGAATGATGTAGTCAAATCAGTCCGGTCGCCAGTACTGTTATCATTTTTTGGGTAGATCTTTGAGCTAGTATATATATAAAAAAAAAGGAACAACTATCCCATTTTTAAATCATAATACAAACTCAGTCAGCAGAAAGAAACATTTAATACAACGCATATTCATTTCAACTCTATGCTACAAGTGCCAGATATAGTCAATCTATGCTACAAGTGCCAGATATAGTCAATCTATGCTACAAGTGCCAGATAAAGTCACTCTATGCTACAAGTGCCAGATACAGTCACTCACTATGAAACATAAAAGCAATTAGTAACCACAAAAATGAGAACTCTCCGAGGTCGACTAAACCTTGAGTGGATACCATGTGCAGTCCTGGGAAGCAAAGACGGCTGAAGGATACTGACTACATTACCAACTAGCTGATGATTGGTCTAGAAAATATAGCTCTAGTCCTATATGCCTGGTACGCCTCAAGGTGTGTAAAAAGCTCCTTTTCTTTTACTTTTAGATATGAGATGTCTCTGAACGGCTACTTGAGTGACCAGAAGAGATACAGTCAGGAATGAGCTTATAAGAGGAAATAAATCGGCACAGAACTAATTATAAATCGCATATAAAGACAGCAAATCATGTGGTTAGCCCACTTAGGGATAATGAAAAGCGACGCCATACCATATAAGACATACACACACAGAGGAGACGGGCGTAGAACATAAAGTAGACACACACAAAAACTAGCCCGGAAGACAACACTAGAAAATTCTACATCAACAAGATGGGTCTACTGGTCGTAGCAGCTAAAAGAGCAAGAAGAAGAAACTTATATCTCAATCGACATCCGAAGGGGTAACAGAGAAAGTTAAGAAGAAGAAGACCTTTGATCTAAGGTCATTTATTACAATCTGGCTCTGTTTGGATTTGAACTCAAGCTTTTTGGGTCTGCAAGCCAACTCTTAGAGTGTGCTTTATGTGTATTTCAATGATATTTTTTCATGACCTATACCATAACCGGCTAATTAATTGTTCTTTATATCCTACAGTTGCACTTTCCCAAACCTACAGACCTGGAAGACGGTTTAACCTTGATCGTCCTTGGCATCACCGTCTGTTTCTTCATCTGCTGTCTGATTCCCGCTATTTACAATGTGACCCAGATCGCAGAAGTGCCCTCACACACAGGCTTAGCCTACTACCTACTGACAGCCAGCGATACCATGCTCTGTGTCAACGCTAGCACCGACTTCTTCTTTTACTGCCTTCTCGGTAGAAAGTTCAGGAACGTTTTTATTCGCCTTTTCTGCCCGAGGTGTTTTATCAAAAGACGAAGAACTAACACAAGCAGTTATTTTAAAGGAAGTCATAAAAATAGCGAAACATTTTATTACTCTGTTTAACCTTAAGTTTCTAATGCTTGCGGTGATGTAAGTAAGTTGTACCCAACCAGGACATCACACAAGCGATGAACACTCGGTGACACAAAGTGCCACCATGCGGATAAGGATCACTCGTGTAGAGACTAGGCCATACCTATGCCCCGGCTATATTTAGGGCCCCTGGCAGGAGCCAGGGTGGGGCTTTAAATAACAGATTGCATCCCACATGGAACGACTATATAATTTCCGTGATATCCCAGTACCAAACTATACTGCCTGCTAGCCTTGTAAACTGTGGGAGACATGTTTTGTTAACAAGAAAACAAGTAGACTTTATTCAGATCCTAAAGTCACATTCAGTCCGGAGGTTCATTTTTTCATTTCTGGTAATGTCATATATTTTTCTGGCGAAGGCAAAAATAAATTATTAAGGTGTTAATTCTGTGGAGACTTTACCAACCAAGTCTGTGGAGACTTTACTAACTAAGTCTGTGGAGACTTTACTAACTAAGTCTGTGGAGACTTTACCAACCAAGTCTGTGGAGACGTTACCAACCAAGTCTGTGGAGACGTTACCAACCAAGTCTGTGGAGACTTTACCAACCAAGTCTGTAGAGACTTTACCAACCAAGTATGTGGGGACTTTACCAACCAAGTCTGTGGAGACTTTACCAACCAAGTCTGTGGAGACTTTACTAACCACGTCTGTGGGGACTTTACCAACCAAGTCTGTGGAGACTTTACTAACCAAGTCTGTGGAGACTTTACCAACCAAGTCTGTGGAGACTTTACTAACCAAGTCTGTGGAGACTTTACCAACCAAGTCTGTGGAGACTTTATTAACAAAGTCTGTGGAGACTTTACCAACCAAGTCTGTGGAGACTTTACCAACAAAGTCTGTGGAAACTTTACCAACCACGCAAGCTTAAATCCCCAGGATTGAAAGCACTTTGTCTTATACAGCCTGAAAAGGTACTTAAATGGTAGTGATAACAGTTTTCAGATATTTACACTTCCAACATCATAGCAAACGGGTCTTCCATAGTTGCTTTGTTCCTGTGCCAAAGAAAAACCACACAGAACGTCCACCACTATTCCTTGTGACAAAAGAAACACTTGACAGACGTAGGGCCCTCAACAAAGAAAATCCTCCATATCATAGGAATTTTTGAATCTGTGTTTTCCGTGAAAGCTCAGGTTTCGCACTCTAGGCCAGCCGCTCATCTGCTGTTCCTGATGTTAAACTTCAGCAACTGTCTATGACTTTGGTCACTTTGGTGGCAGTTTTTTATTCTAAGAATAGTTAGCCATTTCATTTTCCTGCGTATGTAGACTGAACGAACATTGTTTCGACGCCCAGCTGCTGAGTTGAGACCCTCGTGCAATTTTATGGGTTGAGAATTTGACATCCGTTCTCAGTTAGGGCTAATATAAAAATGTTAACAGGCACAGTTTGTGACGACTACACTAACCTTCCAGCCATATTTACTAGACTCAAGACAACGCTGTCTTAGAGAACCATACCAACTGGTTGATACAGATCATACAGACGTGCAAGGTTTGTGAGGACTGTACTCCTTATGCGGTCGTAAATCAAGTTCAAGACCATGCTTGTTTTACACTGACCTAAAAGGTGAGAAGTGTAAAGCCTTCTTATGTAAAGGAGTAATCATAAAACATCACAGGTAATGGAAAACGGCACAGCAACACAGATTTTTAAATGTAAGAGCGTTATTTTTATAAACACAACTAAACGTAATCACTGTGCTCTTAATACATTTCACAGTTCAACGGCTTGATTATATCTTGTGCTGTGTGTAACATTCCCAGAAAAAACTGAGCTTATATTGGTACAAATCAATTAGTGCCATAGTCTTAAATACAGTATTAGTTGCTAAACAGTTCATTAATTCAGAATTCCCACTTCAGCATGGACAGTGACGATGCAAATATAAACATTGGTGTTTCACACAGGATTACATTGTTTATTCGCTCACTGTCATACATGGACACTCACTGTATAATTTGCAATGAAGTGTGTAAATCATTCAAGGGTGTTTTACTCTGCCAGTTTCTCCTACATTGCTGATAAATTGAAAAGTGTTTGTAATTATGGAGCAAGCGGTTTGGTTTATTAGATTATCACCCTAAGAATATAATTACAAAACATCAAAGCTAGATACACGTGAAGAGAATTGCATCATATATTACAATGAACAACGCTTTCTACAATAACTTGCATGTTTGTCTCAGGATATAAATTTCCTACGAAGTCGGAGTGCATATGTCAGAGGAACCAACAGTCTGCATTTAAATAAGACAGATCTTTACGTCGGATGTGCATGTTCTAGAGCAAGACTAAAGTCCAGAAGCAGAGAAACAAGCATACATTTTTACCAGAGTTTGCAGCCGATGATCGCAAAGAAGTCAATTGATTTGCCAGCGCGAAAGGCAACGAAACGCTGGACACCCTTGGAGGCAGCGCCACTCTAAATAGTAAATCTTCAATGAACATACCGAATCCTACAAGAAAGACAACTCACCCTAAAAATCTTAATCGTTAGACGCGGTTGCAAATTCCAAATATAGCAGTTGGGCAGCAATTGAGAAAACCGTGCAAGAGCTCACACTGGCCACATAACTAATACAGACTAGGGGTCATCAGCATAAACATACTAAGAACAATCACTTGCGAGGCTGCTGCACAAGTACGGACAACATGGCAAATGTCTATCCGAAGAGGTGCAGCAATTTGCTAGGCTTCCATAAAAAGGGCAACTGAGCAGCGCAGACATGCTAGACAGACACGCAAAACAGTCCTTTTACCTACATAATCTGTTCTGTGTCATCAGAGCCCTAGATCCTTCTGGGCGTATATAGGGCTTTAAAGTCACCTCCGAACTCACAGATAATGAACTATAATTTCATGGATGAAAGAAAGAGTGGTCCACATGACTTGTGATAGACGAACAACATAAAGAAGCCTGCTTAGGTGAAGATCACAGCATTTATCTAGGGTTGCAACAATTCCTAAATTTTGCTAAAGCATTATCATTTCACAAGTATATTTCTAAATATATAAGTGGTTAAACAGGCCTAAACGAATGGTGAAGAGGCACTGAAGATCAATGACCATACAGTTTGTGTTTCCGTCGCGAACTATCCCTTCTGAGGGTGCTCAAATTAGCGGGCGTATAGCAACCCTAATTTATCGGTATGCCCGAGATGCAACGATGATTATCTTGAAATGAATAATGAACAATTGTTAGATTGTCAGTCCAGAGGTTGTTATCTATTTCACTCAGCATGTCTTTCCCTGATACATATATGCGTTATTATTGGTGACAATCACGTTCTTTTAAAAACTGATGTACCGGACTTCTATCTATTTTGACATTCATACATGTATGCACTGGGGAGTACTGTAGCCGAGAATCCATACGAAACAGCAAACTTACAAAAACAACAATCACTACTTCTACCACTACTACTTTTACCTCTACTACTACTACTACTACTACTACTACTACTACTACTACTACTACTACTACTACTACTACTACTACTACTACTACTACTACTACTACTACTACTACTACTACTACTACTATTACTACTTTTACTACTACGGATCATCATTATGTAGCAGGTCCTTTGCAGAACGTCGTTGTCGTCACGGTCTGCCTAAAATAAAAAATAAAAACTTGGTCTCCTGCCAGCTCGCCCGCCTCAAGTACTTTCATACTCAAAGAGTCACGTATATCCAGTGCCCATCTTCGTTTTGGTCGGCCTCTGCCCCTCCTTCCTGGTTTACTACTACTACTACTACTACTACTACTTTTTACTACTACTACTACTAAGACATTTTACTACTACTATTTTTTTTTTCTATGTTATCTTTTATTTACATACACACCTAACAATTAATTAAATATTTACTCGTTCGTTATCAGACAATTGATACTTTGTTTGAATCACCCCTAATTCTTAGTATCTTTAGCACATTCCTAATTATTGGCATCTTTTTCTGCTCTGCACTTCTGGAATGCCTTGCGGCTTCTGTGCAGAAACAGATCTCTGGAACGCGAGCTTCTGTTCGCTTCCTAAAAAATGCTTTACAGTGTCCCTGATGTTTCTACAGTCCATCTTCTGCGTGGTCGAGTAGTGAAATCTCTACAAGCACTATATAAGCCACTGTCGATTTGCTAGATCAGTCGCAGTGTTTTGGAACTGCCTGTTAGCATCATGAGGACCTGTATGAGTTATGAGTTGGATTATCATCACATAACTCCGGACACATCCATAGGTACTCAGATTCTTCTCAACATAGAAGATATTTATCAGCGTCGCGCTGTTAATAGTGACAGTCCTAAGCTGGTTGGCAAGACTTCGGTGTGCTTTTCATGCTTGGTTGTGCCGATCTTTACTCCCAATTCTCGGATTCTTAGCTTTGATTTGGACACGTTGCTTCCGAAATCCTCGGAACGTCCTATCTCTTTAACGGCATTGACAAAGTCTGCGTGATCTATGGCCCGGCTATCTTCAATGAATGCCAGTCTATCAGCTCCTTCATTACTAACAACACCTGCACACCCTGGGACAGATATGAAAGTAAATGCACACAATGAATGAGGCACACGCCAGTCTATCAGCTCTTTCATTACCAACAACACCTGCATGCCCTGGGACAGATATGAAGGTAAATGCACACACAGGATAGTTTTGCAATGACTCAATCCACTGTCTGCGCATCCAACCTGCCTCGACCCGCCGGATCATGCTCAAAGAATCACCCAGCACACACGCGCGGTAATAGTCCTACGATTCTAGCCAGATGAAAGCTTGTGTCACCTCCATCACCTCCATCACCTCCATCGTCAAGCTGATGGCAGTCGTGAAGAAGGCCCTGCTAGCTTCCTGAACTGTTCTGCCCGAAGAGTTCCAAAAGACTGCAATGATTGAGGCACACAAAGAGAGTTGTAGATAAAAGAGAGTCAAAGCACATACACACACAATGATTT